CCCCCTACATTTCACATGTTGCCTCTGGGCCATTTAACAGGATAGCTGGGCATGTCTGCAAGCCTATCTCCTCCTTATGGGTCTGGCTAACTCCTAGACCTTCTTCCAAATTGAACTCAGACAGGTTAGGCAACCTTCTAATGTATTTCCATGGTATCTAATGACCACATGTATCATAAAAATCATCATGCTATATAACAATTATCCATTTCCGGGGCGCCTGGGTGGCTCAGTTGGTTAAGCGACTGCCTTCGGCTCAGGTCATGATCCTGGAGTCCCGGGATCGAGTCCCGCATCGGGCTCCCTGCTCGGCAGGGAGTCTGCTTCTCCCTCTGACCCTCCCCCCTCTCATGTGCTCTCTCTCTTTCTCATTCTCTCTCTCAAATAAATAAATAAATAAAATCTTTAAAAAAAAAACCAAAACAAAAACAGTTATCCATTTCCTTGCCTGTTTCCTGGAACAGATTCTTGTGAAAGGGGTCACATTTCAAATTTCTGAATCCCTCTCTGTTTATTATTCTGTCTGAATAAATTAGTTATAATATTTTGTTTAGAGAGCACTAGACAAGACTAGTTCTCTCTCTGCCATTTGGCAGTTATTACTCTTAGAAGACTATCTCTTTTCACGAATGTCCTTATCTGTCCCATTACGATGATAGTATGGATGCAGATAATAGACTGGATTAATTGTTAAGTGGTTTATGATTACGGATAGTACCTAAGAAATGCTCAGTAAAAGCTGGCTGAATCCAAATAAAAGCTATCCATCCTTTGAGTGCTAATTCAATTGTACATCTGTAGCGAAGCCTATATAAAGATCCATTGGCAGAATTGATTACTCCTCCCTCTCTTTTCACAGACTTTGTTTATAACTTAGTCACAACATTTACCCCAGTTTTCCTAATATTAGAGAGACTCTTGCATGTATCTGCTTCCTTTCCCCTAGTGACGAGGCGCGGTGCAGGGAACAGGTATATTCTGTCTTGCTGCCTTCAGCGGCATAAATGAGTGCCTCACACATAGGTGGCACTCCTAGCTATGCGCCAAAAGTGTGAGAGAGAGAGAGAGACGATAATGACATACATCCTGTGCGTTGTGGTATATTGTCTGTAGTGGACATTAGATTTTTCAGAATATTCTTCACTTATCCATTGAGATGCAATTGACTTATTATATTAGTTTTAGGCACAACATGATGATTTGATATATGTCTATGTGGTAAAATGATCACCACAATAAGTCTATTTAATATCCATCACTATGCATAGTTACAATTTTTTTCTTGTGATGAGAACCTTTAAGATCTATTCGCTTAGCAACTTGCAATTCACATGTGTTTTTAAAACGTCAACTAGAGCTGTTTAATCTGCTCCCAGTCTTCCCGTTTCTGAGTTATTTAGATTTTTATTGATTGGGATTGATCTATAGGCTAGGAATCCTGGCTAAGACTTCACTTCAGACTTTAAACGGGATTTGAACTCAAATATGCAATTGGATTAGCCAATCCAGTCAGCAAGCAAATAAGAAGCAGTACATCCTTCTTCTTCCTCCTAGCTTCTGGTCTCCCCCTTCAGGGCTCTCTATTGTCACAACCTAACAAAGCGCTGGCTGGTAGAGGAGAAATGCCCTCTGTGGGGTCCAGAACATAAAGAGAGGCAGAACATAAAGAGAGGTGTTAGAGACAATTGCCTATTAACTGGCACAGTCATAGTTAATGAAAGTGAGTAGACCTTGTATTTTGCATAGTCTGTAGCTGGTTCATTTTCAGTCCAATGCTTTTGATCCGTGTGAGGTTTGGGATGAGGGGACATTAAACAGTCTCCAATTTTGTCATCCGCCAGGTAGAGCTTTTGTTTCTAAAGAAGAATGCGTGATCTCCAAACTGGGTTTAAGAGTATGTCTTTGAAGAACCTATTTTAAAATAAAACAGGAAGCCAGGGACAAGGAAAGGATTCTGGAAAGCAAAATTAAATCCTGAGATCAGATTTCTGCTGTTTGATGGCAGAAGTGGTGTGAATTCCAGCATGAGTGCTATTTCAGAATGAAAACGGCTCCTATTCCAGAAAATTGGCTGGTGCTAAGTTTCTCTAATTAGAGTGCTGGGGTTTGGTGAAGTGTGTTAGTTTGATAAAAGAATTACTAGCACTATTCTGCTGACTCCCAGACACAACGTTCAAGGTGGCCTGGGCTAGTAAACAGGGGTGGAAAACATATCCTCACACATTTGCTTCATGCCTGAAAAACAAGCAATTTAAGAGAAGACATCTGGACACAAAATTTGAACAGTGCTCGGAGCCCATCAAAACATGGATTTGATGGCTTGGCGTCTGGCTGCTAAGCAACGTACTTCTTACATTCAAAACAGAGTTGTAAAAGTAGGATCCTGGTGCCAACTCAGGGTATTTCTCATTGAAGAAAAAAATAGTCATGAGCATTTTTTTTTTTTAGGTCTTAAGATATCTGATTTCTATGGTAGAAGAGCTCAGATTATTTCTGCTCTAGTCCTCTCATTTTCCACAGTCTGAAGTATTAGATGGAGCTTAACTTTACATTTTGAAGTACTCTTAATGAATGCCGCAAAAGGGTCTTGTAATATTTTTCTCAGCCCCCTAATTAACAGCATTCTTTTAAACTAAGTATATATATTCACCATACACATGCTTTTTCAAATATTTGGTTCCCTTCAAGTTAGATGTATATACCAGAGGGCCAGCCGCAAGCTAAACGAGATTTGCTTTACCAAAAGTATCCTTTTGCTTGGCAGGGAGGCCAGGGAGGGCCCATGTAAAATATTTTCCATGTGCAGACTACTTTGGAAAATGTATGTTATTATAATACTTATTAAGATAGACCATTAATTTCTTTCTCCCTTGCTTTTATCTACTTAAAATGTACTGATATGTTTCAAAGCTTGGAAAATAAGAATTGCTAGCTATCCAAAAAAAACCACAAATCCAGAAAAAGCAACAGACAGATCATTCAGAACCACTGACTAGTTTTGCTTTTTTTCTGGGAAGCAGTTAGGAAAATGATGGGGCAGGAGGTAGGGAGGAATGGGGCCTTCTATGAATTTTAATTTGTCTTAAAAGTTGCGGAATGTGCATTTGTATTCAAAAATGAAACTGAACTATTAAAATGACCTACTCTTTGGAGTAGTGTGCTTACGAAAGTATTTTTTCCTCTGTCTTTAGAGAACTTCCTTCCACAAACTCTCTGAAGCCTTCTTCTTGGCAGCTTCTTGTGATGCAGCAAAGCAAGAAATCCAGACGTGGAAAATTGCTTACCAAAAAGAAAGAAAGAAAGAAAAAGACTTGGAAACCAAATAAGAAAGGGATAGTTTTACAGGAGAATTCTACTTCATATGGAAGGCTACAAAACAAATGTTCTTCCACGTCAAAGATTTATGTAGCGCAGAGAAATTAAAGGATGGTTTTTAGATCACTTAATGAGAAGGCAGATTTTCCATCATGCCTAGCATCGTGGGCTGGCAGGTTCTTCCTAAACTGTTGCCCTCTGGCACCCTTGTTTACATGTGGTTTACATTTATGTCCACCCCATGGACCACAAGTGTTCCTCCATTCCAAATTTATCGACACTTTTCCTTCATACCAGCGGTGCCTCAGTAAAAACAAAGAATTAGGTAGTGGGGCTGTGTGATTCTGAAGCTTTCTGCAAGCCATCAGTGCATTTCCTATCCTAGCTCTGGTTGCCCCCTTTCATACCATGCTTTTGCATGATACCTCAAAATTTCAGAATCCTTCAGCTACCCTGGGTGGATCCCAAACACTACAATAATAATAATAATAATAATAATAATAATAATAAAATAAAGAATGAGCTTTAAAAGGCAGCTCTTACCAGGTTTCCGAGAGGCATGACTTAAAGCTGCCAATCAGAGGAGAGTCACGAAGTAGGCTCAGAGCTCTGAGCAAGCCAAGGCTCCAAACCAGCCCAGACTCTGTGTCTGAAAGTCACACTTAGCATGGTGATGGAATGATTGAGCAAATAGATATTGTGCTCTTCCCAGAACCTCTGGGCCTATAAAGATCAGTTTTTTTCCCTTCCTGTAACCATCTTCCTCAAAAGAGGGAAATCCTGGGCAAACATTCCTTCCTCATGTCTTGACTCTTTGCCCAGATCTTTCCACACTGGGGCTTCAGAAACATATTCATCCAGAGCCCAAACATGCAAGCTGGATGTGACCCTTCCCTGGCAGCTCTGGAGGGACCAACCATGCTTGTGGTGCATTGGAGGGCTAGGCAGAGGAGTTGCTAAGGAACCGGACAGGATTAGGTTTCCATATCCTCCCTACCTCCCTGCCCTCCTGAATTCCTTCCTTCCCGGAAACTGAAATTCCACCAGGTGGACATGTAAGAACTCCATTAAAAAGCCAGACTGGGAAAAAGAGTCCTTCCTTTGGAAAGTTTTTCCTCAACTTATGTCACAGAAGTGGTTCAAGGAAGAAGGTATGGACCTTTACAAAGGAAAGGTGTGGATAAAAGTGACTACAACGAATGAACCAACAAAATCCTTCCCATTAGGTTGGACAAAGTTGTATATTGAGGTTCACTGGCAAGTAGATGATCTCCCCCACAAAAACAAGAAAGAAAGGAAGGGGGGGAGAGAGAGAGAGAGAGATATCTTCCATTCCAAAGACAAACTTGCTTTCCCCCACTTCCCATTTAGCTATGTACCTTTTCCCAAGCATTCCAGTCCCTTCTTACCCGTTTGTGCATCTAGGACACCATGTCTCAGACTAGAGACATCCTGCCTGATAGATGGATTGTCAGTGCACGGCTAGTCCTTTAAGGCAGGAATTGCTGCTGGGAGACCCTGACTACCGGAGCAGGGCTGAAGGCTGGCTGGGTTTCCTGCAAGGAGCAGTGAAGCACATCCGTAGTGGCAGAAGGTCTGTGCGAGAAGCGAGGCCGTGAGCAAGGCTGGACCTCCACCTACCTCCTTGCACCAGCGCCTGGACCACCCAGGCAGGTTGGACTTACCTCTCTCGTAAACAGGATGGCCGCGTCGTAGTGCTCCTCATGGTCATCCCCCAGCTGGTTGTGCTGGTGCTGCCACTTGCAAAAGTTCTTGAGCGTGGTGGCCGCATTCTTGCTCACCTCCAGGCTCTTGTCCTTGTCACCCAGCACCACTACCTTCACCACGGCCAGGCGGATGTGGTTCTCGATGCTGGCATGGCTGTACAGCCTGTTGGCGATGGAGGCCAGGGTCAGCAGGTAATGCTGCAGGCCCCGGCCATACAGGCGCGCCATGGACGCGTCAGCCACCAGGAGAAGCTCCACCTGGCGGGCCCGGGAGATGGAGCGGCGCCGCCGCCGCCACCACGTCTGGGGTCCCTGCCCCCCGTCGGAGGAGGGAGCTGACTGGTCCAGGAACTGCGGGGCCAGCGCCCAGCGTCCGTCTGCGCTGCTGTGCGCCGGGGGGCGCTCGCGAGGCCCTGGCGGGGACGCGGGAGTCTCGCAGCTAGTGCGCGGCGGCAAGGCCTCAAAGCTGAAGCCCTCGCGGGTATAGACGTGCAGGATCCGCGAGGACCCATCCCCGTACACTCGCCCGGCCTCGGCCTCGGCCCCGGCCCCGGCCCAGGGCCCGCGCAACAGCGGCTTCAGGGTGTAGCGCGCGTGCTTAACCGCGAAGAAGCCGTCGAGACCACCGCAGAGGTCAAAGACAGCCAGGGAGCGTGGGCTGCCGTCCACCGTACCGCGGTAGAAGCAGTGGTCCCCGTGGCGCCGGGTCGCCCTCGGCCCGCTTCCTGAAGGCACAAAGCCGGCGGCGCCCACCGAACCATCCCGCTCCAGGTCCAGCAGGAACCTCCGGCCGCCCGCGTAGACGAGGTAGCCCACCTTGCCGCCGCCGGAGTAGATCTGGTCGACGTTCTGCACCAGCCCGCTGCTCCTGCGCTGCGGCGCCAGGGGGTGCGGGTGGCCCGGAGGCTCGGCCCGCTCCTGCACCTCCTCCCCCTGCCGCCGGCGGGGCTGGGCGGCCGCTGCAGCAGCCCAAGGCTGCCCGGCTTTATCCTGGGCAGGTGCCGCGGCGGGGCCGACAGCGACCTGGGGCAGGCGGAGCGCGCACAGCAGCAGGGACGCCCACCCGAGCAGCATAGTGCGCTGCCCGCAGGGAGGGGCTGCGCGACGGGGACTTTATGGGTATTTGTTATTCGCTATGGAAGTTACCGGGGCGGGAGGTGGGGGCACACACACGCTTGCAAGGTTGAGTCAAGTGTCGGAAGGAGGGGGACCCGGCGGCAGCGCCAGCCTGTCCCAGCCTCAGTGCCAGCCTGTCCCAGCCTCAGTGCCAGCGTGCGAACTTTTCTTTGTTGGTTTGGAAAATGTTTGGATTCGTGCTCCGGAAAAAAAGGGGGAAAAAATTAAGAAGAGAAAAGCCGGGTTGTGGAGGTTCCGCAAATACGAGGAAAGGGGGAAAACAACAACAACCACCACCTAAATCCAACCCCAAGTGCAACCACTATCGCGGCACGAAGAAAAGTAAGGATGGTGCCGCGCACCAGGCGGGCAACCGGTGCGCGCTGCCTCCCGCCCCTTGCTGCTCTGGACCCGCCGGCGGCGGGGGTTCCAAGCTCTGGAGCCCACTTCCTTTCTTATTTTGTGGGTTTCCTTGACTCTACTGGAACCAGGAGGAAGGGAAGAAAGAGAGAAAAAAAGCCATAAAATTAAAACAAAAAGTGCAAGGGGCGGCCCGCGGGGAGCCAGTGAAGCGGCGCGTCCGTGCTCCTTCGGATGCAGTGTCTTCCTGCCCGCGGTCATCCCCAGTCGGCCGCTGCGAGCGCCGAGAGCAGCGCGAGCGCTGTGAAGATGCGAGGAGGTGGAACAATGAATTTATAGCGGCATGCCATCCTGCAATGGCAATTTCAACAATTCGTCACTGCAAGCTGCCTCTTAAAGGGAGAGCTTCCCCCACCCCTCCCACCCTTCCCGGTCCGCGCCTAATCAGATGGGGGAGGGCGGGCGAGGGGGGTGATCTAGGAAAGGGAGACCGAGAAGGACCCGGCGAGGTGGAAGGAGGGACGAGGGAGGGAGCGAGGGCGAGGGGGAAAAAAAAAAAAAAAAGAAAGTATTGGGGTAAGAAAAACAGATTAACTTGGCCTCATTTAAAGCCACAGTGGCTCCGGGTTTGTCTGATATTTCACAACCAATCGGGGTTGGTTAACCCCGGCTTACCTCATCTCTTGCAAGGGGTGTTTTGGTGTGTTTTTAAAGTTACTGAGACATTTCAAGTCTCTCCCTGCCTCCTTCTCTCCTGCTTTTCTTTCCCTCGGTAGGAAGTTCCTGCCCAAGTTTTTCCTCTTCGCACGCCCGTGCGCTCCGGTCTCGAAGACCTTGCAACTCCGTCCACCAGCCGAGGGCTTTGGGCTTCCCGTGCGCCCCCTCGCCCCGCGCTCTTCTCGCCTCCTCCCAGCCGCCCGGGTACCGGGTTTCCTCCCCCCTCACTCCCCGGCCTCTGCCCGCTGGGACGCTCGTCGGGTTCGGGCTCCGGGTGACTAACTTCTCCCAGCCACCAGCAGAGGGGCCGGGCAGCCGGGGAGCCGCAGGCGCTTCCTGGCGCGCCGCTGCGCCCTGAGTGCTGCGGTGCCCGGGGCAGGGCCTCCAGCCGCCTGGGAACTCCGCTCCTTTGTGTGCGAGCCCAGGGCTCCCCCTTCTCCGCGCGCCTTTCATCGGTGCCCGCAATCTGTCCCTTAATCCCGGGTGACTGGAACTTCCTTCGCTTTGCTTTAAGAAGGCAGGGCGAGAAAGTGTTAACTGTGGCAGAAAATTGAGCTTTTTCTTTGTTTTTTTCGTGAGATTTGCAAAATTTGTGCCTACACTTTCTCTTCTTCCTCCTGCTTAAATGAGAATTAGATACCCGAAAACAACCACTCATGGCTCCAGGCCTTGATTTACTATCATTCTCAGAAATTCCTGTTAGGAGAAGAAAAAAAAAAAAAAAAAAAAGGGACTGGGGCACAGGGGGTTCCGGTCGGTGCTTATTAGTAGATGAGTGGCATTGTCACTGCAAGAGCACCTCCCACCCTCCTTCATTCTTCAGGGCTAATTAGTGAATACATCAGTAAAAATGAATTCGGAATGATTAGCACAGTTCTGTCTTTCTTACCTTTAATTTACAAAGATGCGAAGGAGAGCAGGGGTGCCTCTGTGGATCCTAAGCTGCAGGTGGTTTTTCCCAGATCCTTGCTAAGAGACCTGATCACTTTTTCAGGGTGAGAATCAGAGGGTCCTGGGGTGATTCGAGGTTCTCAGGCTGGTGGTGAGCCCCAGGTGGGAATCTCAGAATTGTCCAGCAATGAAGCCTATTGGCCAGTGCCTAGAGAACCCTCTGGAGTCAGTCATCTAGGAGGCAGAGTGAAGCATATCCTGAGAATTAGTTCACTTGCATAAATGAAATGATTGTTGAGACTGGGGACCACCCAACAACCCCTAGTGGATTCTGAACTACCTCCAGACTTGGCAGGAAATTGCTGTTGCTTAAGGCCATCATCCCCTTCTTATTCCACAATCCCTCAGTCTCCAAGTGGTCAGTTGCCCAAAGCCAGTTCTACTAGTTGAATGTTGTGAGGAACCAGAGATGTTCAGGATGAGGATTTAAAGAAGGAGAATCTAGATTCCAGTAGTCTTCTTTGTCCTTCCAGTAACCTTAAAGCCTTGTGGTCCTTGTGTCTATGGAGAGCAAACTCCAGATGAATTTTCTTCTTAGTGAAAGTTTTTCTCCTTTTTCAAAACCACTATATTTCTCAGTGAATCATGCGTCTGGATTTTATGCCTCTAAATTTAATTACATAATGACATTTGTACTCAGATTATTCAAATGTAACTATATTGGAGAACAGGACAGAAGCAGATAAAGCTCCAAACATGAGGATTCACAAAGAAAGGCACTTATACAGCTTATAAATATAATAAGTAAATTCTTACATATTCAGAAAATTTCTACTTGGGTATAATTTTTATTTTTCTGTGAGAGTAACTTGGATACTTTAGGAAGTTCATTTGGTAATACTTTTCAGATATTACCCTAGTGGATTAGGATGAAGTGCTGTGTTCCAGAACAATGAATGTCTTGTCAGTCCAAGGAAGTAATTTGCACTGGATGAGAGTCGTCCAAGTTTTTATTTTCTTTTTACAGTAGAAAGCTAAAATATATTAGCAGTCATGTTTAGGTGGACTAATTGCCACTTCAGTCTTCCATAATTCCAAAAAACAGTTTTATTTGTGCATTTTTCATGAGAACTTTTTCCTGCATTTATGGAGGATGTGATCACACCTGATATATAGTTTTACATTTCCGAAAAGGAAGCGAGACTTTCTATGCCAGACAGTTGAGTAGGAAGTTATCTTGGAGATCATGTAAGGCAACTTCCTCCATCTACCAATGAGAAGCTAAGAATAGAGACCAAATTGATTGCCCATGGATAAAAAGTCCACTAGCGGCCAGCTCGCCTGAATCCTTAAGACTTTACTCCCTCCATTGGTGTTCAATCTACGACACCTCTTAAAATCTATCCAGTTTAACAAATATCTGTTAAGGGCTGGCGGCCCTGCTGTGTGAAGGTCTCTGGAGGCACATAAACATGAATAAGCCATGACTAACGTTCAGAGCAGCTCACAGTTCAGAGATGGAACCAATCCTACCAGGAGATACTTGGGAGTACAAGCTGGAAAATACAAATAGGGAGGGAAAAGAGCAAGAGAAGAACTACAGGTGTTCTGAGTGATGTATTTCCAGGACAGCTTCAGTCCATAGGGTTTGTGTATCCTCCTAAGTAGTATTTGCTCAAATTTCCATTTGTTAAAGTGTCATTTCCTCCCCCTCCCCATCTATGATTTTACTGAGGAAATAACTGATAATAAAACGTTCCACTCTAACCAAACACCTGGTCCTTACCTCCCATGGAGGAGAATCACAGCCTCTCAACTCCGTGCAATAATTTTCCTTTCCCTCATCAAGATCCCTACCCCTGGCCTTGCTGAATTTTGAGCTTCCTTAGTATCATCTCCCTCTGAGGCCTGATGGTGGGTGCATGGAGCAGAACCTTCCCTCCACCCCCTGGGGGTTAAGGCCCTTTAGGAATGCCTTAAAGACAACGGGCCAGCCCTCCCTCAGGCGCTACTCAGCTTTGCAAGTTCTAGTTCTCAGAAGACTTGCTTCAGAACTAGACTTTATTTTAGTCACCTCGTGCAGTGCAATTATGCTGTATTGGTTTCTTTGTGACAGGCTTATTTCTCTTAGCAGAATGTTCTCCACGTTCATCCATGTTATCGTCTATAAAATCGTCAAACTCATAGAAGTGGAGAGCAGATTGGTGGTTGCCAGAGGGGGAAGGGGGAAATGGGAATTGCTGTTCAAAGAGTACAGAGTTTCAGTTCTGCCACATGAATAAGTTCTAGAGATCTGCTGTACATCGTTGACATCGTGCCTACGGTTCACAATACTGTATTGTACACTTAAAAATGTATTGAGGGTATACTTCTGTGTTAAATGTTCTTAACACAAAGCAAAACAAAACCAAAGAGTAAACTTTGGGAATATGGAAAGGAATGTATTTACTATGTTAGCGTTGATATGAATCCTAAGTTTTTAGAGGATGAAACTCTACCTGATCAGTCCTTCTCTCCTTTCCCAACCCTTTACCTCCTTCCACAAATCTTATTTCCCACAATGGTCTAACATGCACCTGGACACACCAATCCACCTGTACAATCTCGCACACATTGGACACATAACACACATCAACATATGCATGCACGCACACACAGTCACCCCTAACTCAGTTTCCCCTCTAGGCTGCACTGACCTGTGCATAGAAAGTCCTGAGAATAAAGCTGGAATAATAAGACAGGGTATGACACCAACTTCTCTTTGCCCTTTGCAAAGAAAACTTTCTTGAGACAGGCATAGTAGATATTTTTTTTTTTTTTGTAGCGAAATTTACTTCAATTCCTGATAAAACTTAAAACTGTTGTCTCTGCTATCTGCCTAGGACGTATTACACAGCATTCTCTCTGTTGTGATGGATAGCATACACTTCAGAGTCAGTTTTACTTAATATTATGAAAAATAAATTTTTGAAAAGATAGATTTTTATTTTTCTTATACACAGAAAGTTTATTCTGTATAAAAGTCTTCAAATGAATAATGTACATGTGTATTATTTAAGACATACAGGTGCTATCTGTAAAGTAAAACCGACAAGTCAGTTTTTATGCTGACCAGCTGTGAAATGTTGTTTTAGCTTTTCTCACACAATTATGCGCATATTACTTGCTTTTATGAGTTACCCAGGTTCTTTTTTTTTTCCCCCTTTATTTTCCGGAAATCATCTCAAAATCAAACCTTAGTGGAAACACATGGAAAATCAGGAATTTCCAGCCTAGAGTAATTTGAAACACTTGAGGTTTTTATTTTTTCCTTCATGATGGCAAATTCAAGCAAAGATTTCGAATTCCATAATGAGTAGTAATTGCACTGGTAGGAGTTGTTGTTTCATAGCAACAATTAATTGTTTTTTTAAGTTAAGGTTTCATGGTAACAACACCTTACTCAAGCTCCCGAGTATCACAGTCTTCCTCAACACTACTCAATCTCTCTGTGTTAATGTTTTTGCCTTATTCTGGTCAGTAAAGTAAGACACTGACCCGTTAATCTAAACAAAGTTGATAAACACCAATTGGTTACTGCCTCACTCCCCCTGGGCAGGCAGGAAATAGAAACAGGAAACGTGTAGTCAATAAGCTTACCGCCCACTCACGATGCTGAGGTCACTGCAAGTCTCTTCAGTGGTTTAAGAAAGATACCCAGTATCATTTTTTCATGACTGTCCATGGACTAATACGTATCTCTCTAACACACAGCTTTCCCAGTCAGGCACTAACAGATGGAAGAGCAGATGATCCTCCAGGAAGACAGGGGTTCAGGTAAAAGCATTGAAATTTTTACTTACTTTCTTTTACTTAGGAGGTGTTGCTCTTCCTATACCCCACTTCCCATCCCCAGAATCATTTTGGAAACACCAAGCGAGAATGCCACCATTACTTACTGCCTGAATGAAGATGTGATTCTAAGTCCCAGGGAGGATACTTCTTCCATGTCAATCACCACCAACTCTCTCCCTTTTCTCTTTCCAGACAACCAGACTTGAGCCTGTGGGAAACTTCCTTTCACCAGTAGCTGGAACACCCCAGAGTCCCAACACAATTGCTATCTCTGATCTTTGAAAATATGAGCAGATGAGCTTGAGGCAGCTGGAAGAGACAGGGAAGTAGAGTTTGATTGATTTCTAGTTCAAGGAACTCATCTTTGACCGCGTTTTCCTGCATTCTTCCCCAAAGCCAGATTCTTGCTTTTGCTTCTCTCTTTTTCTCATTTCGGGATCCTCTTCCAATCCATCCATCCCCTTTCCAGTCCAGGTGCGTGATAAAACCAAGATTCCTCTTGTCCTTCAGGCATGTCGAATATCAAATTTTTAGAGAACAGATCTGGGTAGGAAAGGATGAAGTTGTACTCATAACATTCAAATCTGTGTTCAAAATCATCCCCTAAAGGGAGTCCTCACTGATGTAGAAAAGATGTTAAGGTTTGAAGCTGACGGCCAAGAAAGAATTCTTGAGACATCTTTGGTGCAAAAAGGTGATTTTATTAAAGCGTGGGGACAGGACCCATGGGTAGAAAGAGCTGCACTGGGATGATGAGTAGTGGCCCATTATATATTTTCAAGTTGGGAGGGGCTTAGGGATAGTGTAAGTCTCTAAGGAGTTTTGGAAGCAAGTTTTCCAGGACCTTGAGGGGGCTAGCTATTGTTGGGAAAAGGTCATTTATTACTGTCTAATAAAACCATAGTCATGAGACCCTTCAGATGTATATCGGTGGGCCATATGCTCGGGGGATGATTGCCAACATGTATCTTGTGGGGGTTTAGAGATAAAGGAAGTTTCAAAAGGAATTTTTATATGTTAAAGTAGACTTACAGGATTGGGGGGGAGGGGCCAGACCAGAATTGTCTTCTGCCTTTAGCAAAGTATTAACATCGAGGCAGCTGAGTTTCTAGAGGAAGGTCACTCTGCCTATTTCAAGGACTTGTCATTGGGCTGTAAGTGGTAAAGAAATTCGGTTTTTCTTTTGCCTTTGTTTCCCACATCACTCACCAGATCTGCCCACAAAGGTTATGAGATCTTTGATGGCCCATGTCAGTTTAAGCCCAAATGTTTTAGGTGACTCTGTTGAGTGGCATCTGAAAGGGTTCTTTTGACACATAACTTTAGAATTAATTACAAGTAGTTGGATGTGAATTACTAAATACATATTTACAAGTAATTATATAACCTCTAGCATTTGTTTTCTGCATTTCAGATTTTCATTTATTTCTGCCAAAGCATTAATTGCATTATCATTATTTCATTTCATCTGTTAGCAGATAAAGTGGCTTTCTTTTAAAAAAGTTGAAGAAGGAAAACAGTGCAGATTAAGACTAAATAAGATGGAGGCATTCACAGAGGGAAACTGCCAGGTATAGCAAGAGAAAGCTTCCCACCTATAATCCACACATGAACCCTACAGAAATTTCAGAAAACAACCAATGTATCTTTCTCATTCATGTCCTCTTGTGTTTATACTCCTGACAGTATTAAAGTTGTTAATGTGCTTGTCTTTTTGTCCCTTCTGACACATGTCACACTCAGTCACAGAGTGTGAGGACTGCTACCCTCATTTACACATGCCTCCAGCACCTCCAAAACAGACCTGTGCTTAACTGATTTCAGTTAAATCAATCTCATTTAATCCCACAGGATTTAAGTGAGGAGAGACAAAGCAAAAAAAAAAAAAAAAAATAATAATAATATAATTCTTGTTTATTCTTCACGATCTTGGCCTGAGTGGAAGGAAGAGAGAAAGAATTATAGTTCATGAAAAGAACCATGATTCTAACTCAGCTTAATAGAAATTTTTGCGTTCTAGACCCCTAAATCCAGACGAGAATTCAGGTAGTTGTCGGTACTTGAGGGAGGATTCAATGACTCTTGTGTTTCCAACCACATGATGTAATCTATCAGACCCTTAAGATTAGTGGATATGGTATTCACATTTCCAATCACTGGGTAGTTCCCTGAAGAATTTATGTATATAGTACACACCAATTCATAATTTGAAATGTGGTCATCTTATACAGCTCTTTGGCATTTCTGGTTCTGTGTCTTGTTTATTTCGTTTTGAATACTCATTATCACGTAGCAAGCAACTAACGTAAAGAGATTGAGCAAAAACTAAAATCACAACTCTTTGTTTCTTCAGAAGGAACCATGTAAAACCTCACAATGTGACCTTATCCGGAAATAGGGTTTTTGCAGATATAATTAGTAAAAATGAGGTCATCCTGGGATTAGGCAAGGCTCTAAATCCAATGACTGGTGTCCTAAAAAATCGCAGATACACACACACACACACACACACAGAGGGAAGATGGCCGTGTGGAGATGATACAGAGGCTGGAGAGACACAACAGCTCAAACCAAGGAAGGCCAAGGAATCAGGAGAAGCCAGGAAGAAGCAAGGAGGGATTCTCCCCTAGTACCTCCAGAGAGAGTGTGGCCTTGCTTGCACTTTGATTTTGGACTTCTAGTTTCCAGAAGGTGAGAGAATACATTTCTGTTGCTTGAAGTCAAAACCAATGAAACAAACCTACAACTTTTTGTTCAAAGGAGGTTAACTGTTATTTTTGTCGGTAGGAGTGACAAGAACATAAGTAAGCCTGTGCTTTAAGACAGAAAAGAAGATGGAAACAGTTGAAAGGAGAATCCAGTGGTGGCTCGGATCTACCACGTGAACAGTTTCACCTCTGCTGCCTGGAGGCATAAGAAAAGGAGGTAGATGAGTCGGAACCTCTAGGTGGTTAGTGCAATGCAGAGTTTACTCACCAGTGAGATAAACATTTGAAAAAAGTTGCAAGATGGCAAAATGTGTTTTTATGCACAAAAAGTACACCACAGTGAATCGCCAATAAAGTGAGGTTGAAGGGAAAGGCAAGAGAGTGCAAACTTTTCTATAAACTACAGGTGGTGAACACAAAACACCGGCAGTTGGATTAAACATGCCTGGGGTAAAATGTTGGTTTGAAACTTCCAGAATCATTGTATTTTTTGCTACATGTGAAGTCAACAAATGCATTATTTCACTCACTGCCCCACAGATGTTTTGAAGAGAAGCTTGTAAGAAGAAATAATATGTGCAATAAGGAAAATACCTTCCCAAATGCTCATCCACGAGATGGGTAAGAAAACATGGGAATTTAAAGAGGCCAAGGATAAACTGACTCATCTACTTTTGTGGCAATGTAGCATATTTTGGGATTAAGACTCACTTGTTTTCCTGTTCTGTCATTTCCCAACCTTAAGGGACTTGAATAAGAACTCCTTGAATGTTTATTGACATTCCATTAAAAAGCGTATAAGGCATGGCCAAAGTCTTTTATTTTTTTCCTTCAAAAATGTCCACAAGTACTTTGTGCTAAGGTAGGATTTTAAAATGTGTAGGTTCTCAATGTTTTCTTCATAGGATGGAGTAGGATGCTTTCTCTTTCTTAATTTTTCTGCTGAAACAGGGAAAATAAATTTCCACCCTTTATAAAGCAGTGGATCTCAGGTATTTTGGACCCTGCTATCCCTTTAAAAATTACTGAGAACCTCTAAATATTTGGCTTATGAGCAGTCCTCAATATGTGGTTATATCTACTAATAGTTATGATAATAGAAATGAGACCTTAAAAATAAGTATTTGTTGATTCATTTACTAATAACAACAATAAACCTATTCAATGCTGATTTAGGTAATGTATTGTTTTTGAAAAATAACTATATTCTCCAAAATGAAAAACATTTAGTAAAGTGAGTGATATTGTTTTATATTTCTGCAAATCTCTCTATAGACTATATTTGGATTCTCATATCTGCTTCTGTATTCAATTACTGTAACATCATATGTCATGTACCTTCTGGAAAACTCCAGTGAAATGCCTTTATATTAGTATAAAAATAATTTTGATCTTGGGGATCTCCCGAAAGGATTTGAAAAACACTACTCCAGGAACTTGGTACTTGAAACCCATGTCTTCATGCCTTGGGAGCTTTTAGAAATGCAGAATCTCAGGCCTTGCCCCAGACCCATTGGACCTGCTTTTTCAGAAGCTCTCCAGATATGTCACACACTCATTAAATTGAGAAATGTGCTGCTCTTGGATATAAATCGAAGGACACTGTTGGTTACTTTACATCTCTACTGACTTCTCCCCAGACAAAAAGAGAGGATCAGCTAATAGGTAAATGAAAAAGAAAGCTGGTTTGACCAATCTGGATTGGTCAGATTTCCCTGTTGGGAATAATTAATATGGTCAATGTCAGTAAGCCTAGATGAACATTTTTTTTTTTTTTTTGATGGGGCAGAGTTCTCTGTGCTCAAAGTTGTGTGGAGCAGGATTGGTAAATATCTTGTTTGTAATTCTTTTTAAATGTAGGTCCATGAGTGAAATAAGTCAAACAGAGAAAGATATGTATCATATGAGCTCACTGATATGAGGAATTCTTAATCGCAGGAAACAAACTGAGTGTTGTTGGAGTGGGGGGTGGGGTGGGAGGGATGGGGTGACTGGGTGATAGACATTGGGGAGGGTATGTGCTCTGGTAAGCGCTGTGAATTGTGCAAGACTGTTGAATCTCAGATCTGTACCTCTGAAACAAATAATGCAATATATGTTAAGAAAAAAAAAAAGAAGAAGAAGAAGAAAGTAGCAGGAGGGGAAGAATGAAGCGGGGGAAATCGGAGGGGTGGACGAACCATGAGAGACGATGGACTCTGAAAAACAGGCAGGGTTCTGGAGGGGAGGGGGGTGGGGGATGGGTTAGCCTGGTGGTGGGTATTGAGGAGGGCACGTTCTGCATGGAGCACTGGGTGTTGTGCACAGACAATGAATCATGGAACACTTCATCTAAAACTAATGATGTAATGTATGGGGATTAACATAAGAATAAATAAAAAAAAAAGTAAAATGAGGTATCACCAAAAAAAACCCCAAAAAACCCCCCAAAAAACGTAGGTCCAAAAGACTAAACAAGGAAGTCAGAAGGAAGGAGAATCAAGTGTGTGTGTGTGTGTGTGTGTGTGTACAGTAAATATATATATTATATATATCTAAGATTTATTTATTTGAGAGAGAGAGAGTATGTGAGCAGGAGGGGCAGAGGGAGAGGGAAAGAGAATCCCAAGGAGACCTCGCGCTGAGTGTGAAGCCCAACTTGGGGCTTGATCTCATGACACTGAGATCATGAACTGAGCTGAAACCGAGTCGGATGCTTAACAGACTGCACCACCCAGGTGTTCCATGGGACAATTATATTTTGATCCTTAGCAGGGTCTATGGCCTATTTCACAGCTTGTTCAGAAAGGGATGGTTGTGATAATTTATCACTCTCCCATGTCTCTAAACCCAGCAGATGCTGAGTCTTCTGTACAAAGCTTAGTCCAGTATGGGAGCCCAGTATTTATGCTGCTGCTAGTGGAGATGAAGTCATAGTCCAGAACTTACTATTTGCTCAATTATGCTTTTTCTTTGAAAAAATATGCTGTATTCTTTTTGATTTAGAGAGTGCTATCTTTAACAAGGTGTTCAGACTTATGATCAAGACAGTACACAAAGCTTATGTGAGTTACATGTATGAGTACATAAAATTATACTAAGTTTATACTTACACATGTTTACATCCCTCTGCTCAAAAATGTAACAAAGACGGATAAGGTAAAATAGAAAAAGAGAAATAGGTATTTTGTAAAAGATGTTTCTTTGGATCAGAAATAAATTCCGAGTCATAGAAGCATAGGCTTTATGGACTCTGGGACAGGTGGGCAGTGGAAATTAGGACTCTGGTTCTGTAAGGAACTAAGGGTAAAACCAAAGTGCTCTATCATACCTGGAGGTCTGGAGTCAGCCTTGCTGCTTGTAGCCTCAACTTAAATCCTCTCTCTCGCATGCCTAGATCATGACATTGGGTTTAAGAAAATGGCTAGTACCTGCTCTTTGCATCAGTGGTTTGTAGCAAGCTGTATACTAAGGTTAGTTATGGATCTAAGCTCAGAAATGAAACCAGGGAACCTAGTGAACTAGTGAATTTATCTGTGATGTCCCCAGGGCCTCCTCTAGTGAGAACACTGAAATATGCAATATCAGGGTGTTACGACTAATGATCACTAAGCAAGGATGGGTGAGCATGGAAGAAAAGCGAAGAACAAACAAACACATCCTTATCTAAGCATGTGGGTGACACATACACAGAAATCAAATGTTAAAGTGTGCAGCCAACCCAATCAACAGTCAAAATAGGAATATAATTTCAGGGGTGAAATGAATTTCATGGAACCAGCTGATTAATACTTTAAAGTTTCTGAGGATATGTGGAGAGGTAAATGAATAAATAATTTCCACGTGAAAAAACAGGATATTATAAAACAGCATTAAGGTACAATAAAAAAGAAGAGGGGGTGTAAAAAGGAACAAGTCAGAAATATTGGAAATAAAAAACATCTTTTTAAAATATAAAACTAATAACCTGTGCCTGGTTCTGACTGAGGATACTGAGAGGTCTGTGCCTTTGGAAAACAGTTTAACAGTCCAGTTCTCCCAGGAATGATAGGCACGGCTTGCCTCGCAGGGGAGGCTGAGGGAATACCAGGGGTTGGTTGGGACCCAGGAGCGGGAGATGGCAAGCACTGAGGCCTTTACTGGTGTTTCCACAGCAGGGCAAGGCAGGGTAAAGAGTTTAGGATTATCTAACTTGGATAATTTCATCAGGCTTTGGGCCACAGGTGAGGTCCCTGGTTGCCTGATGCATGGCCATGGGCTGATTAAGGCAGTTTCCTGCAGTACATGAGCTAGATAGAGGAGGTATGGCTCTGGATTGGTCAGCTTGCAGATCAAAGGCAGGTCCTGGGATGGGCAGTGCCCAGTGCCTCCCTAGTCAGAAGGCTTTTTAAAATTTTTTGTTAAGATGCCAGAACATCACAATATACAGAAAATAAAACTATATACAATATACCCATATACTCTGCATACAGCTGAAGACAGTGACTTGGAAGAAGGTATTGAAGATTTAATTCATCTAGTGTGCCTCTGTCTTAGTCCATTTTGGCTGCTATGACAAAAAATACTACAGACCGGTGTCTTGTAAACAACAAACACTTATTTCTTACAGTTCTGGAAACTGGATGTCCAAGATCAGGGTGCCAGTATGGTCTAAGGGTCCTCTACTCAGTCACTGAAAGAAATGGGAGTTTATAAGGAGCACAGAGGCTTTTTAGTGAAACAGAAATTAAGTATAAATTTAAAAAAGAGAGAAGGAAGGTTGATTCAGGTTCAAATGGAGATAGAATTAGCGAGCTTTAACAGTGAGGAGAGAAGAAAGAGAAAATTGTCAGCTAATGTGTGGCAATATCCAAGCAGGATTTAGCTTTAATGTTAAAAAGCAAAAAATTTTCAATTGGGGGCAATCAGAGGAAAGTGGGCAAAAGGTACAAACTTCCCTTTATAAGATAACTAAGTCCTAGGAATATAATGTATAGCATAAAGACCATCGCTAACACTGCTGTATGATATACAGGGAAGGTGTTAAGAGATTAAATCCTAAAAGTTCTAATCACAAGGAGAAAACTTTTTTTCTTTTCTTTTTATTACATCTATACAAGATGATGGCTGGTAACTAAACCTCTTATAGTTATCATTTCACAGTAATTGTGAATCAGACCATCGTGCTGTATACCTTAAACTTATAGAGTGATGTACATCAGTTATTTCTCAATAAAAATGGAGACAAGGGGGGAGGGAGAGGGGGAGAGAGAGAGAGAGGAGAAAGAGGAGAGAGAGAGAATTTCCCTTAGCTAAGTTGAAGGGAAAGAAAAAATAAACAGGTTTTGTGAATGTGATGGTGTTTGGTTTAAGAACCTGAATTAAAGTTTGAATACCTATACGTGGGACAGCACTCAGGCTAAATAGGTAGGATAGGACTTTCTAGTATAGTTTATACATGAAGCTAAAGGGAATACCTCCCTATTTTATTTTGTAGAGTGATCCACAATGTTGTGAAGAAGGCAGAGCCCAGGTAAAGTGTTGCCATAGGAAGCCCCAGCTACCACTTCCCAGTCTTCTCCAAAGAGGAAGCTTAGTAGAGATGCTTGGACCAGATACAGGTGTGGCAAAGGGAATTCTTAGAAAGTAGAGGGAGGACTATGCATTTTCCATCAGAGATACCACTTTTTCCCTGAGTTTTCTCATGCTCTAACAAGTTCAATGAGGCACTTGTTTTAAACAACAGGTGGTTCCTCACTTACGTTGATTTGACTTATGATAAGTCACATGCTCAGTGTTCTGCCAACTGCTCAGAACTCTGGCAGGAGGTCACTTACAGTTACGTCATTGGGAATGTCTGTTTTCTGACATGAACCAATACTTAAGACTTAGATGGCTTCCTGACAGTCTATACAGCTCCCTCTGCCTGGGTTCTCTTTGACTCCTGGTCTCAAGCATTCCTTACCAATAATCAATAAAAATCACGTAGAATACATGATGTAAAGCTTTATGGCTTACTTTTGTGAACATTCTTTCATTTTTTACCAAGTGGTACCAACGCCCAAATATTTACTGAGCACTTCCCATGTGACAGTCACGATAGCAGTCATTATGTTTAGATGCGCGTATTTAATTCTTTAAGAAATTTATGACAAGGACATTATAAATTTTATTTTGTTTACAGGTATGTTAAAACTTGAAAATGATGTGTGA